CAGTTTGGGCCCAGGGACCAACCCCTCCAATCCACGCCCTCAGAGCCCATTCACACCCTTCATCCCTCACCCCGCAGCCTCCTCACTCTCCTTTGGCATCACACCCTGGCCGTGCTGTCAGCAGCCGCAGAGCAGCAGGTCCCCTTGGCCCAACACTACAAGAAGCTTCACTGTGCCCTGAAGGTATCAGGGTAAGGGGACATGGGGCGTCCCTGTCAGGGACATGTGTTTGGGTGCCAGCTAACAGCATCCTTCTCCTCAGAGCCTGGACCTATGCTTCCATGCCAAGGGTTGCGGGCTACCGCTGGAGACCCTCCACAGTGCAGCCTTCCTGGTATGGGGGGGATGGGGGGATCTCCAAGGGCTTCCTTTGGGCAGTCTCCAGGGAGGGCATCCCCAGGCTGCAGACTCGTCCCTCAACTCTTGTCTTCCCTGTAGTCACTGGAGACCCACCTAACCCTCTGCTCGGCCACCAGCCGCAAGCTCATCCAAAAATACTTCAGCAACAGGATCCAGCAGCAGGTGGGAGTCAGGACGGAGCTCCCAGCCCCACACCCACCCTTGCGTGTACGAGGCTGCCCAGCACAGCCCACCCATTGAAACATGGGCATTTCCCCACCACCCTCCCAGTCCTGGGGCTGTTTGGGTTGGTTTTGCCCCAGCAGTGGGCAGGAGGGGGTTCAATTGCATCCCAGAGGATGCCCGTCACTCCCTAGTAGCCCAAAAACGAGTGTGCTGAAAGGCAGCGCCCTTATTCTGTGCCACCCGCCTCAGCTGGACGCCAGCTCAGAGAAGTACGGGGCAGTGACGATCAAAGCGCTGTACCGCCCTTCGGAGCAGAAACTCCGCGTGGAAGTGCTCAACGCCACCAACCTCATCCCGCTGGACTCCAACGGTGGGTGTGGGTGGGCTGGGGAGCCCCACCATGCCGGGACTCCTCATCCTCAGTCCCCAGTACGCCCCTTGGTGGGAGAGATGCTGGCTGTGCTCAGAGTGACGGGACTCTCTTGATTTGCTTCTGCATCCAAGGAGGTGGGATTTGGGAAAGACGGAGTTAAAAGTCCGGGGTGGTCCAGTGGGATGGGGCAGGCAGGACCAGGCAGGGCAGGCGGCTTTTCCACCATGCAAATCACATCTCATACAGAAAAATGTGCCGGTGTGACAAGAGACAGGCTGTCGGGTTGGCTGTCATTTGGGGCGGTCTCCAGGAGAGGTCACTTCTCCTGCAGCCACCCGTGGCCGATTGTGTGGGCAGGGTTGGGGATGGTCCCGCACCCTCCCAGGAGCGTGGGCTGAGCTGGGGTTGGTGGGGAGGGTGCCCTGGACCCCCGCCCTTACCCCAGCCAGGCAGAGGGGGTGATGAGAGGAAGCTGATGTCTGCACCCTCTCCCAGGCTCCAGCGATCCCTTCGTCCAGCTCACCCTGGAACCCCGGCATGAGTTCCCCGAGGTGGTGGCCCGGACCACCCAGTGCAAGAAGAACGAGCTGCACCCCCTCTTCGATGAAGCCTTTGAATTGTATGTAGGGGCTGACACCCACCACCCCCCCATCCTCAATCCTCGCAGCCACTCATGCTTCAATCAAGCCCCTGCTATGGGGCTCCTGCTCCAGAAACTGGGCCCTGCCCTGGGATTTCAGCCCCTGCACCCCTCTGGGGGCTCAGCCTGGGGGTTCTGCAGTGGGAGCTGGTGGTTCTGCCTGGGTCCCACAGGCCGGTGTGGGGCTGTGCCAGGGCTTTGAAGGGCTTGGGGGTCAGTGCGGTGGTGGGGGTGAGCATCACCCTGGGGAAGCCTGTTTGGTTCCCAAAGGTTGAATTTTGGGATGGAGCGGATGAGATATGACAGGCCCCTCACACCCACAGCTTGATCCCCCCCGAGAAGTGCCGGCAGGAGGGGGCCTGCCTGCTGTTGACCGTGTTCGACTATGACACCCTGGGCTCCAATGACCTGGAGGGCGAGGCCTTCTTTCCCCTCTGCCATCTGCCTGGCCTTGATGCTGATGAGGACCAGGCCGAAGCGGGACGGGTGCCCCAGACCCGCCTCCCCCTCACCCACCCCAAACCCAGTGGTACGTGGTGCTGCAGCCGGGCTGAGCCCCACAGAGCCCCCATGGCATGGGGAGGGGGCTGCGGTGAGCATTGCCTACCGCCCCTCCCCTCCTCTCTGGCAGGAGACGAGATCCTCCGGCTGCTGGAGTCCAGGAAAGGGGACAAAGAGGCTCAGGCCTTCGTTAAGCTCCGCAAGCAACGAGCCAAGCAGTCAATGGAGAAGGAGTGAGGGAGGTGGAGGAAAACGGTCTTCAAACGAAGGGGGCTGGCCAGTGGGACCCCAGGAGTTTTGCCAGTGCTGGAGCTGTTTGTGGGGGACAGAGGGGGTCCCTGTACCCCCTGCCACCTCCCAGCACCCGTCTCAGCCCCACCTTTGGGTACTGATGCTCCCACACAGCACATGGCATGCTGGGGGATTTCCTCGCCTGCCTGGTCTAGCAACACTACACAGGGGATGCGAAAGTGTGTGGCTGTCCCCGCTCGTCCCCATTAGCCTGTCCCTGCCGGTGCTGCAGTGCCTGGCCACATCCCCAACCCTCTTGTCTGCAACCTGGCATCAGGGCAATGCAAAGGCATCCACATCTACTTGGGGTGGGGACAACACGTGCCCAAACCTGTGGGTTGGATTTTTTTTTCCCTCCCCCACTTTTTTTTTTCTTGTGGATAAGCCTCTTATTTTAAATTAAAAGCAACAAAGCTGATGTGTGTGCTGAGCCTGTGCAGAGAGTGCTTTGGGGCAATGGCCCTGGGCCGGCAGCAGTGCAACGGGGTGGGATGAGACATTTAGGTCAGGGAGGGTTAAACTGGGAAGGAGAAGCTGGTTGCAGGATTTCAGCATGAGGAGATGGCTTGTGAGTGGTTTTTGTCTGAGTTTCCCATTGGAAACAGAATGGGGAGCCGGGATGGTTCTGTGCAGCCCACCAGGCTTTGTGGGTTTTTTGGTTTGGTTGGTTTTTTGGGGTTTATTTTTTTTAGAATGTGCAGCGTGTGTGTTTGTTTGTGTTTCTGTATTTTACCACCCATGGTATTGACCTTGGGGTGCCTGCTGGAGCTGAAGGAGCCTGGGAGCTTGCTGGAGCACGGCAGCCCCAGGAGACAAACCACGCAGCGCCTTGAGCTGCTGAGAGCCCAGACGCAGTTGACAGGTCCCTGGTGTCGCCCCCAGCCTGTGCCAGGGGTCTGCATCCCTCTGCTGCAGCACACAGAGGACAGTGATGGGGACAGTGGTGGGCAGCAGCTCCGCAGGGTGCAATGCATGTGGGGTGGCTCAGAAAAAGTGCCCAGCAGGGCAGGTGGGTGATAACTATTTGCTGGGTTGGTTTTTTTTTTTTGTTAGGGGGTGGGTGGAAGTGGGGGGTGGGGGGGTGGGGCGCTTGTTTTAGCTGCAATTATTAGCAATTTTATATCTGGAGCAGCCTCTGCCCTGGCCCTGCAAGGGGTGGTTGTGCATGGAGCTGCAGCGGGTCCCTGGGAGCTGCCATGTCCCAGGGAATTAAAAGCATCGCCCTCCCGGCTGCCTGAGCACCAGCTGCTCCCTCAGGGGATGAGGAACTGCTGGGTCAGCTCAGGTCAAGCCCTCGATGCAGAGGGTTGGGGGAATAAAAAAAGCTCCTCTGGTATCTATATGACACAGCCAGGCTCAACCAAACCCACAGCAGGAGGTATTAAGGTGCTACTTGCTCACAAGGAAGCCATTTGCTGGCTTAAATAATTTGTTTGTGTCTCCCCTTGTAGCTCTGCAGGGAAGTAAGATTCGGGAGAAGGGTTGCAGAGATGCTGACCCAGGGCATCATTGCAGCCGGGCTGCTGCTGCTCCTGGAGAGAGAGGAAACCCCATGCCTGCTCTCTGTAGCAGATTTGGTGTTGGCACCTGCTAGCAACCAGCCTCATGCTTTCTTGCAAGGCTTAGTTATATGGGGCTGCAGGTCTGAACCTGGTTTTAGCTTCTTTGTGCTCTAACTTGCCCTGTGCTGACCATCACCTGGGCTGTCCTCACTGCAGCAGACAGTGTGTGGCTCTGCTTTGAGCTTGGGTGTGCTTTATTATCCAAGCTAAAACACTGGCTTAATTTCTGCTTAGCTCCAGGCAGTTGTGCGAGTCTTTTCCCACCCCAAAAGAAATTATACACTTTACACAGGACTAATAAACCATAAATGATCAGAGTGTAACTACCCCCATGGACCTCAGGAGGAGAATTAGCCTAAGCATTAAAAAAACAATACGGCTTGAAGAACACAAAACCAGCTCCCAGATAATGCCAGACCGAGGAACAAATCCCCATCATCATCATCATCATCATCCTGGTGAAGAACCTGACACAGGCAGATTGCTGCAACACAGAAGGGGGCAGGCACTTACATCTACCAATTTTATTGTGTTACTAATAATCTGTAATATAAATTAGGTGATTCAGATTATTGTTGTAACTGGACTAATGGTAAATGGTTGACGCATTTTCAAAGCATTATTTAGACCAAAAATCAAGGTAATTCTTGGATCCATATGTAAGGCATATACTTCTGGGTGCCAACGCATGAAACCATGTATGTAATGATTGAAATGCTCATATTCCCTCCCATTAGCTGTGCAGGCAGAGCTTACCTCTGCCCAGCCCAGCTCCTGTGGGAGACGCTTACAGATAAATTCTGGGTGATAAAACGCAACTTGCTCTGTGGTTTTGCCATTTCCAAAGGAAATGCTCCCCATCTTGCATTGATCATAAAGGTCAAGGACACCCCCCCAAAATGGGAAAAATCTGGAAAGGAGCCCAAGGAAGAAATTATTCTTGGTTGTGTGAAAGTGAGAAGGCAAAATTGGCCATAGAGATGAACTGGATCTGTTATTCTGAGAGTTTCATAGCCCAGACTTCTTCACACCTCACTGAGCCACCGCGCAGGACTGTACATACACCCCCGGGCACGCACGGGCACACACACACGCACACACCGCTTTATTCGATATTTTTTTTCTTAGCAAAAAAATAAAAATTTATTGTCCTCTAGAAAAAAAAAAAATCCATCCTGCCCTTGGAAACTGTGACACAGATTGAGTTCTTTTCAGCCCCACATGCAAATTCACTCTGCCAAGAAAAGAGTCTAAACCAGGTTTCCGACAGCCAAAACACATATTTACAGAATACGAGAGAACGACAGCTGAAATCACAGTTCTATACATGGAATCAACAACACGTTTTACACACCACCGATCACCATTCTGCCAACTTCTACACGGACTAGGGGCGCTTCTGCCCAGTGCCCTTCCTCCTGGGGAAAGCGGGGAAGAGACTGGTCAAGAATTGCCACCAGAAATACTGCAGTGTGTATTATTATTATTATTTTAAACGTATACTGTATTTATTTTGTTTTAACATTGGAAGCTACGGAAAGTGGGAAAGCCCCAGAAATCTCCCCGATGCAGTCACTAGTTTGCAGGAATACTTCACCTTTAAAATACTAGGTTTTACATCAGTAACATCTATTTTGCTGTTGGCCATCACTCCAAGGATTATTATAATTCTGGAGGAAAACACTGGTAATATTCTTCCTTCTCAGATGGGGGAAAAGGAGAAAGAGAGGAGTTTTGGAGGCTGGTAGAACAGCAATGAATTACTGAGTCCATTCAATGTTACGGGCTTCCTCACAGGGTAAGGACTTTTCTTCATTGTCTCAGCTGCATAAGCCTTGCAAGTGGCTCAGGTTCAGCTTCAGAGATGTACGGAAAATATAAAACCCTTTGGCAGGGGATCAGCTGCAGCAACTCCCCCTCGGGGTGGGGTCTGCTTAATGAAAATGTTGTGCTTCAGCTCTGACACCTTCCCCGGTCCCTCCTGCGCCACAGCTGGCAGGCGGCTACATCATCTAAGGCTGGAGATGACCTAAAAGTGGTCCTGTTAGCTCAAAGCAATGCCAAAATTCTTCAGCTCCTGGCTGTTGTCTACAGCTCTAGCCTTGCTTTTTGGTATCTATCTACCCAGGATAGTGTTGTCTTAAGCCATCTGCTTCTATATTGTTTTTCCATAGTAATGTAAAAGTTTATTGACCTTTAAGATACTGTGGTTTCACAACACAATTGAGACTCCCTTCCCCCAGCTCTTAGCTCAGAAGTGTCTGACCTGCACAGTTAGTCAGCGAGGTCAACACTTCCAAAGCGCCCAAAAACATGGGGAGGAAAATGTCATTATCCAATGAGGAGTCTGTGTGAAGAGGCAGGACCCAGTTGTGCCAGCTGGGCTGCTCGTCAAGAAGAACTCGGCCAAAAAAGCCCCCTTAGAAGTTCTGGTGTGTTACTGCATGTCCTGTAAAAGGGAGCTCCCGCTTCAGAAGGAAGCGTGACAGTACATTACTGGGGCTGTACATATTAGCACCAGGTTTACTTCAACAAGACTCTTTTTACACCATACAGAAGCTGACCACAGACTCCTCATCCTGAAATGCAGTGCTGTGATCATGGTTCACCCTCCCTGCCTGGGGCAGGCAGTAACAACTGCTGGAGTGGGTCAGAAACACCGCCCTTTCCCCCTGCTCTCACCTCACTCAGTTCTGAAATTGTCATGTAAGTGGCCCCCAAAATATTCACAAAATGCACACACATGGAGTTCTCTTTCATTTGATGCTTAAGAAAATAATTCACATTTCAGATTATTTCTCTTTCTTTTTAAAGCAGCAAACAAATTCATAGAAATCTAAATTTAGGAAGTCTGTCTTAAAGAACCAGAGGAAAGCAAGAAACAGTCTATGTGCTTGAGCAAAGACAGTGCTGAGATACAATGGGGTGGGGGCAAGGGAAGGGGCTAGTGCTAATCCTTTCAGGCTGTTCTGCCCTGAGTGCAGTGTGGCAATAGAAAGTTAAAATTTAAGGGCCACAAACAGGTGAAGTTTTGAATTCTTTGGTCCTTCAGTGTAAGTTTTAAAACAGAGAAACTGTTTTACTCAAAAGGAAAAAAACATGCTTTCTCTGGCCTGGAATTTGCCTTGTGCCCCTCTGCCTAAGCAAGGTACCTCCATGGACACTGGGGGCAAATATCGTTTCCCCCTGGACCTGACAGCCCAGCAGACTCCGTGACTGGCAGTCCCCTGGAGATGGAGCTGCCAGCAGTGGCCAAAGTCCAGCTGAAGAGAAGGGACAAAGTGAGGAGTCCCTGGGGGAAGCAGATGCAGTCACACAGAGGGGCACCACACAGTTCGGAAAAAAAGAGGGCTGGCCAAAGGCAGCGCCACCCTGAAGAGCCCCTTGGGGAGGCAGGAGAGCAGATAAACCACCACGCTATGAAAAAGTGTTACAAACCAATAGCCAAAACAGGCTGATCAGCTCTGGTTCTTATAAATAGTAAAGACCTGATTCAAGAGTTTATTTCCTATGATTTAAGTTACTTACAAAAACTTCTCAGTAAATTTTTATCTTAACTGGGCTTTTTCCTCCTCCTCCCACTTTTTTCCCTAAAAACGAAATGTTTATGTATTTTAATAGAAGGTGTTTCCTTAAGATCAGACCAAGGCAGATGCACTGCCCCATGGCACAGACATTCAAAGGCTATAACCAAACAACATAGCCACAATAGTCACCCAACAGTGTCTCTCCATTAAAAAAAATTAAAAAAACCTGATGCTAGTTACAATAAAATACACATGGAAAAAAAAGCATTTTTACCAAAAAAACCCAAAAACAAATTAATGGGAAAAACATAAAAAAGAACTACACAGAGCTGCACTTAAGAGATCATCTGGGAATGCATATTAACCCCTTCCATGTAAAGGAAGAGTGGAATTATGGAAGCAAACCTAATTATGTCTTTGCATTAAATATGAAGCTTTCTGAGAGGCTCTGGTAAAAATTCAGTTTTCCTAAAACAGTGGGCTGCTGGAGGTTCCAGTGCTTTTCCAGGTCAGGGAAGGGGAGCACAGGCAGTGTCCCTGTGCAAAATAAAAACGTTTTAGTCAACTGAGTGGCCTTTTGGTTGAGATCCCAGCAGGTTACCGCAATCCGCCTGATGTAAAAATCCAAAGGACACACTGGTGATGAAAGTCACAGGGAAGCTCAGCTACTGGACAGGTCTAAGCTGGTGGCATTTTTTTGTCACGCTAGACTTTCTCTGTCACCACAGGCATACATGTTCTCTAGTATGAGGGCTTCTGGACTCAGCAGTCCACAAACCATCCTTGAGGTGCTGACACAGGCAGCATCAACTTTTCAACATGAGTGTCCTCAGAGTACCTGGAATTGTCTCATGTGTTTCAGCAGTGACTATGAATCAGGTCCCTGTGGCTAAAACAAATCTAATCTGGTCTGAAGCAGTAAAAAGTCTCTAGGTAGACACCAGATAAAGGGGTGCCAGGAGAGCACTAACCTCTGCATCCATATTTCTTTCATAAAGGGCTTTAGCTGACGCAAGGGCAATACTTTTAAGGCTGCTCAGACCTGGAACACGTTAGCTGTATCAGCAATGAACACTCGTCACTGAATTTTAGGGCTCGGCTTGCTCTAGGCCCAATACTTTTTTTCCTTCTTTTCTTCTTTTCGTACAAATATACAAAGAGAGTAAAAAAATTTAAAAAGTGAACTTTGCTGGTTAAACGACAGCCAAAGTTCCTGCACATTCAGAGATTGGCAATGTGAGGCCCACTAGGCAGGCACCCAGCGGAGCTTCCATCAGGGAGGACGGCTTTAACCAAGCTGGGTCAGTGAAAGAGCAGGGAGACCGAAGACATGAACAAGTCACTTCAATCCACCTTGATCCTCCCTGTGATCTCAACTCTTCCTCTGGAAAGCACATGGAGGCCTCTTTTGCCCACTCTAAATCCTTCTGGAAATAGTCAAAAATTTGTTATCACCTAAATAGAAAAGAGGAGAAACAGAGACTCTTTGCAAATGGCCCTTTGATCTGTATTAAAAACAGCTCTCAAAGTTCCTCAAGAGTTAGAATTAGTGGGGCAGGGGTGAGGGGCAGTTTAGATACGGGATGTAAAATATTAAAAAGTGCTCTGCAACTAATTTTTGTTTCATGCGTGTATGTGCGTGTGTGTGCATATATATACACATACACAAACATGCACATACACACATATATACATATATATACACATACATATATATATGTACACATACATATATATGTACGTATGTATAAAGTTAAAAAGTTCTATACGATATGATTAGAACAAGTGTCCTTGGAAGGTCACGACTGGAGAGAGTGGGGCCTGTTGGGATGGCAGATGGGGCACTCGCCCTCCTCGGCGCAGGTTTCGCACAGCACTGCGTGTTGGCACGGTAACACCACCCGGTTCTCCTCCTGACACTTAAGGCATTTCACTGACTGCATCTGAAATACTGCCTGCAAGAGAGGGGGACAGGGCAAAACATCAAAGTCACAAAGCAAAAGGGCTTCTGTCCTATGCTAGGCAGTTTGGGGAACAAATAGGAGGCAGCAGGGGAAGAACTCGCAGCTGTCTGCCCATTTATCTTCTGAGGCAACAGCAAAGCAGCACAGCATGATGTCTTAGGATCATTTAGGATCAATGCAGCTTTGATTGTGTTTAGCTCTGTACTTTAGGCACAAAGAGGAGGTAGGTATTTTCCTGTAAGCTGGCTAAAACTGAGTTTGGCTACAACCACATGGAATTGCTTTGATAGGCTGCTGATTTCTGGCTGTATTAAAGAAAGGGGAAAAAAGCTGCAATCTGTAGGAGTAGAGAGAACAAGGACCTTCCCTACAAATCCCTGGCACTCACCTTATCAACTTTCTCCAGGTTTGCCCGCAGCTGTTTCTGAAGGGTGTAAAGCGAAGAGAGTGAGAGCGTTTCCAGGTCAGAGAAGGAGCGCAGAAACTGAGGGTCCTGGCCTGTGTGGATCCTCTCCAGCTCCTCCTGTAGCTTCTTCACTTGCAGCTCCAAGGCTTCCCTCTGCTCCCGGGCCAGTTCACACTCCATGTTAGCTGTATTGGCGCGATCATTTGCTTCCTCTGCCTCCTTTTTCCAAGCATCACAAGCCTACAAGTTCCAACAAAGAGGGTAAAAAAAGCAATCTTAAAAATTGGTCAGCCTCCAAGAGAGAATCCCAGGCAAAAATATCCATTTCCATGCACTCCTCACCAGCAGTATGTTCTATCCAATCTGCCCTGTTCCTAAATTCTGAAAAATCCTTGGAGCTTTGCTACAAAGTACTGCCCATTCCAGATAACCACTCTGGTTGGGCTGTGGTTCTACATATTTGGCTCACATCACTAAAGGGATGAACTTTGCATATTGGCAAATTGTCATGGATCTAAGTCAATTGCCAGCTCTAAGAGACTGTCAAGCACTTGAGTTCATCCATTACAACACCTGGCCTTGCACTTCCAGCATCTGAACACATCAGACAGAGTGATTCAGTCCCTTTTTCCAAGGGAGAAGGATAAGAATGCTTAAGAGAACCTGTCTGTAAAACCTACAGCTCTTTGCAGCACCCCAGTGTTTGGAAAGCTCCTGTTGAAACACTGACACCCTCCTAGTCCTTTACATCCTCTAATCTCTCTTCCCAAGAGTGGCTCAAGTACCTGTTTGGCTTGTTTCCACGACTCTTCCCACTGCTTTATTGTGCCGTTGGCTTCATCCAGTTCTTGTCGTAGCCGTGCCAGCTCCGCAGCACCTGGACCTGACAGAAATGCAGGTGAGGTACTGGGCGAAAAACTCCCCGAAGCAAAGTGTTCCCATATGCTGCTGTTCATCCCATTTAAACCTGTTTCACAGGGAAATAGAGAGGGTTATGTCATAGGTGCTGGCATTTTCCCCATTTACTCCCTACCCCTGTGAGATCCAGGACTTAAAAATGTGTACATAATAAAAAGAAGAATCTTAAGAATTACTTTCATCCGCTGGACCCAGGAGTCTGTCATAGAGGGACTTCACAGGGATGTTTTTCAGCATTAGGCCTCATCTTTAATTGATGCAGGGAGGACCCAGGAAACTGAGTGGAAGCAACTTTTGATGCAAGTTGTTTTCAGAAGCATTGATTTTAGAGCAGAGCTGACTACCAGCTTGAATCCCCCTTCTCAAGTAAGAAACCTCTGAACTGCTTACTCTGAACCTTCCCACTTGTCTGTGCAGCACAGCCATCAGCATTGGTGAACAGATTGGTTCACACAGACAATCTGGGTGGTGCTTCCTCTCATGCTATACCCTAAGAAAACTTCTCCTCAGCCTGGTGCTTAGAAAAGCAGTCTCACTTCCCAAACAGTGAGACTAAAATGCACCAACGTCATTACTGTTTGCATACGCAAGAAACAGCACTAACTGGAAAACCCTGTTTATACACAAGTGGAAGCAATAGTATACACATCAGCTTCATCCCTGGCAGTTCTAGCAGAAAGCTAGTGCTCAGCGCCAGAGAAGACTGATTAACCACTTCCCTATTTTAGCTTGTTCAAATAATTCCTCTTTTCAGGAAGAAATTCAAGGCATAGGAAACAAAGAAGTAGAAAACCAGTTGTAAACAAAACTGGATTTTTTTCACAGACTCCAACATCTTTTAATAACAAAAATATTTTTACTTAAAATAAACATCTGCACTTTGCACTCACAGGAGGACTCGTAGGAAATGCTCGTATCAAGACAGAGCTACTGAGTGATGTGGATTCTTATGCCCACAGACACACACCAGTTTGATGTAGCAGTCATTTTCATCTAGTGGTGCTCACCACTGGGTGTGGACATCCCGAAATCTAGCTGCATTTGATAATTCTGATCTTACAGCAGCCAAACTGTGTGCAAGCAAGCCCTGAGGCCAATGGGCTCTCAGTGAGGGCTAACCCAACACCACTTACTTCTCACCTAGTGACAGCCAAGCCACAAACAGTTACAAGAAAAAGTACAGCTGAAAAATACTAACTTGTCTTCACTAAGGGCTTAGATGAATCAACAAGTCATTTAGCAGAGCAACAAGGGCTCTTTGCTGGCTCAGGCAACGTACCGTAGATCTACTGCAGCTGCTCTGAAGCATACTCAGTTGAGACCAAGACATTTTAGTAGACCTCAACTCACATTTTGTTTTTAAAGCTCCAGTTTTCTTGAAAGGGAATCTAGCACTAAGCAAGATGCTGGCAAGCCACAAATTCTGCCACAATGCTGAGCAAGCTTGTCAAGTCGTTTCTTTTTACTCCCTCTTTCCACCTGCTGTTATAATTTCACATTTGAAGTAGCAAGCCCCCTTGGTCCAGAATGCCTTCACTGCACATTTTGCATCTAGCACAGTGGGAACTAGCCCAGGACTAGGTATTTTTAACTCAACTGCCATACAAATAACTACACACACTGCACACTAACTTATGTGCATTCAGCAAGTTATGTGGAATAGATAGATTCTGGATTCCCAACTGCTAGGTTACTATTTAAATATCTAATAAAAATCTCAGAAAAATTTGGTTTGTTGTATTACAGGAATTTATTTAACTTTTTTGTTAAAAATCAAGTATTTAAATGCACTTGTGAATTTTCTGTGGTTTGGTTTTTTTTTCATTTGTATAACTACATAGTCAATACAAACATAACTGCTTAACCTGTTTCTTCTGAAATGAAAAGCAGTCCTTATCAGCAAGTTTTTCCTTTTCTGACTGCTATTGGGATGAACAGCCAGCTTCAACACCAATTAATAGCAGAGATATCGTCTGATGTCTCTTTTCTTATTACAGTAACTGTAAAAGCTGTTAAAGCCAAACAAATAGCAATTGCAAGGCATGGAAGCATGGTTTTGGCCTAGGCAAACAAGGGATGCAGTTACACAGATAAATGCATGCGGTAATAGATTACAAAAGCATGTAATAATTTTATTAGGTTAAGCTGGATATTAAAGATTAAAGTGTATCTCAAATTTGAAGCAGCATTTATGTCTAGTATCAATAGAGAGAATATTTACTGTTACTAACAGAAATCAGCAGAGTTAGTGTCATGCAGCCTTAAGCCCATCAGTTTTATTTCTCAAGGTAACCCCATGACTTGATAATAAAATAGATTTGGCCCCTTAGTTCCCAGTTCTGCTTGATACACCTGATGCTCCAAAGCAATTTATCTTCCCTTCACAGCCCCTCATATAGGTAACAGAACCTCAAGAGGGGAAAAGATAATAAAAGGAGCAAAGGAGGCAAAGCTGGAACACTAACTTTTTGCAAAGTTCATACAGCAAAACTGCATGCAGAGTGTGAAGTAGGAGAAAAAAGTACAGTGACCCAAGCCTTCTCTAGAGCTCCCAGAAGCCAATCTGACCTACAAGCAGTCTAAAGGGCAAACTGCAGTCCCCACCCTAACTAAGCAAAGCTGAGGACCCAACTCTGAGTTTTATGTAAAGTGAAGTCTCAACACAGCATTTTTGGCAGGGTAAGGCAGAGCTCTTTTCCCTGGCAGGCCTCATCAGAGCAAGTCGCTAAACCTATCTGTCCCTTTTTCTCAAGTCTGGATACAAGGGAAGCAGAGGAAATTGTTCCCTTGTTCCCCAGGTATTAGGTGATTTTTGATAAAGCAGCTTTTAGTACTGTTGCTGTTCTCATGGGAAAAAAGAGATACAAATGGCAGCAGTGAAGTAATACATTAAATTAAATCTAATGTAAAAGAAAATACTTACATGGCACAGACAGGCATGTACATGGGACACACACACACTGTGCATTTACCTAATGATCCATGAGAAGCTGATGTCCCCAGGAACGTGTTTTCTGATTGACTTAAGTGTCCCTGGGGCTGATGGAGGAAATGCGATGAGAGGCTGACCGGTGGAGAAGGAGAGGCAGAGTGAAAGGAGGCAGAGCTTCCAAGGGACCCGGGGATATTTACAGGAGCAGAACTTTGCAGCAAACTCCCACCTGGACAAAGAACACACAGAGAGGATGGCTATGTATGACCATGAAGTATGGGCCAGAGCACAGTGCAGGGGTTCAGAGCAGAAGGCATTGGCTACCCTCTCTCCTTCCCAAGCCCCTCGGGATCCCCTCCACTTCTCATCACGTTTCATTCCCCTCTCAGCCTTTACGAAGAGCACTGAAGCTGTCATCCCATGAAACATGTAGGTTAAGACCTTCCAGAGTTCAGTGGACTACTCCTTCATCAGCCAAAGCAACAAAAGGTTTTCTGAGCAAAGCTCAATCCCTATCAGTCCCGAGAAGATGAATTTGGTATCTGGTGAAATACATTGTAATGGAAAAAAATCACTACTAAAACACGTGCCTTTGCCTTTAATACCCCCAAACAACCTGTAGTGAGAAGCCTCGTGCTAGGTCAGATCATGGTCTTAACCACTGAAAATCAGTGACTAGCTTTAGTCATTTTAAACATACTTGAGTGCCTGGATCTACCAGTAATACAAAACCTCAAATAAAGAAAAGCTCAACCTCCAAAGACATCACACTTCCCTTACACAAGAGGGCATTCTGTCTGCCACACAGATTGAGGGAGATCTCAGTCCTGCTTCCCACTCTCTACTGATCTCCTTTCTTAGGACATCACCACACAACACCCAGAACCTGACATGAAGAGGCAAAAGCAGTATGGAGGACGTCTAAGCCACTGCAGATGGGTAGCGGCAGAAGCAGGGCTATCAGCAGACATGCACAGTAAACTTCCCAACCAGGCTCTTATCTTTGGCAGGGAAGTAGAAGTGATATTTTTTAGGGTTTCATCCACAGGTTTCTTCCTACCTCAATACAGCTCCAGGCAGTGTAGTTACCTTGGAAACCTTCAGATCACCAAAGTTAGCTCTCATTCAAAACCTGCTTTACACAGCAAAGATAGCCAGAAACTACAACCACTTCCAAAAAGCTATGAGATGTTTTGTTATTCCCTGGACACTCAGAGACAGGTAGAAGAGGCCTTAGCCTACCTCCACATACTAAAATGAGACACATGTCACAGGAATCAAATCAGCAGACCATGATGACACTCTGTGACAGATGGATAGCATTACCAGGTCAGTGAGTTTCCTGCTACTGCTAGAAAGAGTTTTCTGCTCAAGATGCAAATCATTATACTTTGGCCTGTTTTTAAGGGTATCAAATGCCTTCTAGAGTCATCTTACACTTTTAAAAAAAAAAAAATCAAGCAAGACCCATTCAGTCTCAAGAAACATCCCAAAGACACCTGGGCCCAATGGCAAGAACTCAGCTCTGCTACTCAATAAGGGCAAGCTTTCACTTCAAAGATGCTCAGCGGGTGCCAGAGTTGTTATAATTGCTGTTTCAACCAATGTTATTTTGGGACTGGTTTTAGAGCTTTGTTGGGCTGGCTCCACTGAGGTGACTGGGCAACACTGCTTGGCAGAAGATAAAGAAAGCTCTGTTGCTTTCATGTACCTATCATGATGCCACTCGTGTGGGGCACTGTGCTGCTGTCAAATGTCTTCTCCAGGGCAGCCACTCCGAATTCATTCAGGTCCAGGTCATCCAAGGCAGACTCTGCCAGACACAGAGGTACCAATTATGTTATAAAGGACCAACAACTTCAAGAGATAGGATGGCCCAAAGAGCCTACATGCAGAGGAGCCTTTGCTCTCTATTTGTCAGTCTGCACAGCCCTACTTTCCGCCCTGCACAATGCTATTCTTAAAAGGTTTGGCAGAAGTAAAATGGGCAGCTTTTCAGTTCAGGTTCTTTTGCCTGATCTGATTTCTTTTTGTCTCAAACTATTCCCAAATGTTATATGAAAACAAAAATTTGATGAAATAACAGCTGTTCCCATAAGCCTTCTCCAAACTCCTCTTTCAAATCTGTCCATAATATGCAATAACACTGGCCTATGACAACTCTGGGTCTGGCTTATGCTTTGTCCCTACTTTGCTGAAGAGCCACTCAGAAAAGAAATACCAGTAGAAGGGAGCACTTGAAAAACATCTCTGAGGTTCAAAGACAGGGTAAAATAAAGAAAGCTTATGAATGCCTGCAAATGTTGTATCTATTTGAATATACCTCATCACTAATCATGATCAATATAATTCCATCCCACACATGCCCACTCATTTCTATTATTATTTTTAAAAAATTAGTGAGATCACCTCAGAAATGTTAGATTTAAAAAAATTAAAAAAGAACAAAAAAATCTGTACCTATCCAAGAAGAGTGTTTCCACTCCCTGGACACTCCTATTCTCCTTTCTCTTACAGCCTCTGTCCTCCACTCTATGAAGGGCAAGTCCTTACAATCTATTTGGTGGTAGCCCTCACTATAAAACTGTCATTTAGAATGTAAGGGGTTGTAGCTGTGGAAAATGCCCCTGTGATTTCCTGCCTACTCCAAGACCTCTTTGTCACTTTGACAAACCTAAAACTAAGGCCCTTTACACCATCTGACATTCTGAGTAAGTGGCTCAGAGGCCTTCTGTTGGTCCCGTGGGTGAATTTCATCCATAATGACCTGCAGAAAACATCAGATGTGTCACAGTCACAGAAAAAGCTTACAGCCTCGAGAGTCTGCCAACACTGACAGAGATGAAAAACTGGAGTTCACTGGAACATCCATACTATTCCAATCCTCATACCTGGTGATCCATGTCTGAGGGAGCCCTAGCAGTGTAAGTAAAAAAGGCAAAGTTACCTATGACAGACTCAACGGTGTCACTGGTTGGGTAGAAAGGAAGGGCATTGGCATTCATGCCTGGTATACTGCTGGTGCCGGCAGGGCTTGGTGGCGTTGCAGCCAGACTGGAGGTGATACTAGAGGAGATGCTGGATGTCAGTGGGCTCCCCACTGGGAGAATACCCAGTATGTCCTGAAACAAGAGTTTTAAAAGGGGAAGAGGTAGGAAATAAAACATGTTTATAGAAGAATCCCTTCAGAAACATGCAGGAATGAGCCAAAGATCAGCAGCAAACCTGTTCCTGCCTGCTTCCAACCTGACAGATGGCTGGTGCTACTACTGGGCTGGGGGTGGGGGACAGATTAACAGCTCTTCTTCAATTTCTGCCAACTGTTTTCCTTCCCCCCACCCCCAGTATTACAAACATCCTTCAAGCTGCCCCTGAATTAACTCCTGTGACCCACAGGTTGCATGCAATCATAGGAATGGGTCACACAATCACTCACTCAGACTTAGTTCAGCACACGACTTAGAACCTGATATTAAATTCTCCTTGCCAAATCCTTGAACTTAGATGACTCCAGAGATCCATTCCAGCTCAATTTTCTGTAATTTTGAGACTCTCTCCAGCATGGTCCAGGCCTATGAATCTATTCTGAATTCACACAGGTCTTGCCATTCACACATAACCCCTCCAGCAAATCATCCCATCTTCACAGAGTAATCCCTCAAGCTGAGCACCCCTAATGGTGTCTGGACTGTCATTTACTCCCTGCAGAGTTGTCTGGATCCACAGAAATTTCTCGTGTCCTTGTCGGTGGTGCTGTGAGCACTGAGCTAGGCTCAGAGCCCTGCTAGCAGTACCGTACCTGTTTGGGCTGTAACAAAGGTTGGTCCTGGCTCCTGTGTTCTAGTGAATGGGACTTCATTTTTGCTTGCTGCGGTAAAGAAACAGAACAAAAGATAAACAGAGGAATTAGCAGCAAAATTAAATATGGCTGACTGATGTTTTTGGAGAGGCCATGGGAAACACAGCCTCCTCCTGTCTTACAACCTGCTCTGGGCACTAGAAAATTCAGAGCTCAGGAGAGCATAGCAAACCAAAAATACCCCAAGTAATTTGCTTTCTATATCACCCCTAGAGCTACGCAAAGACTTGTCACAATTATATTTGCCTTCAATGCTGCTGTAAGTCCCCTGCTAGCACAAAGATCATCTTAAGAACCATGACCAAAAAAAAAAATGATTTTGCCTTGCTATAAATAACTCATCAGCCCTACCAGCATCTTAAAAAAAGGCCAGAAATAATGGGATGCACACCATATTTTTAAATTATGTAAACATTTTTCAACTTTGGGAAAATAAAGTATGTAGATTATGTTTTCCCTCAAACTTTTTCAGTTCCCAGCTAGGACTGCGAAGTAATATGAAGTGTAACTAACCAATTTTAAAAGAAACATCATCAGAACTGATTTAAAAAAAAAAAAAATCCTTCCCCATCTGTTAACATAGGGAGCTCAAAGCTATAAAACATCCGGGAGGTCAAGGCTGTCTGGAATTGCAAAACTTCATGAATGCCATCATGTATTTATAGAATTCCACTATCCAGCCTAAAATAAAAAATAAAAAAAATCTACTTAAGGACCTTCCAGCACTGCAGCTTTAATGGATAGCAACCCGTCTTGTTTCACAACATCAGTCAATTCTGAGATACAATAACCAGAGCTGGGAAGGAAGTGGCCTCTTGAGCTTGTCAGTGTGTAATGTCTGTTCTGCAGGCCTTGCTCTGCTCCTCCCATGCTGCTACATGTGCAAGGCACAGGGAGATCAATCACCCTCTGGGCACAGGGAGGGAGCAGAAAAAGTGCTAAGAGCCAGGGCTGCTTGTTTACTCGCTTTCCAACCATCCCCAGTCTGAACTAGAGACATATTCCAGGCATAAAGTTTGCTCAGTCGTTTTTATCGCAAACACAGGCAGTCACCATCTCTGCAGTGGAGATTCAGGCGTGATGTACAACAGCGATGCATGAGATGCCATGCTGACCTGAAGTGATATGCCTTGACTTTTTAGCTTAAACAGTCTTATGAAGAAGATAAATGACCACTGGAGACGGATGACAGAACCAGACAGGCGAAAGAGCAGCGGAAGAATTCATCCCTTGGTTTTACTTAATTAAATAATTTTCTTTGCTCAGCTGTATGCCCATGGGGAGATGGGGAGGTCGAACCCTGGCAAACAGGCAGTTGAGATACGGATGCAAAGATCCTCCTGCGGTGGGTGCCATTCTCTCACACTTCTCTAAACAACATACAGCTGTTTACGTACAGCAAATCTGCCACTGAACTGATCACGGGCTTGTTTTCCTTTGTGTGCAATGGATGCGCTACGTTAGCGCATCTGTGTGTGCCTGATAACACGCCTGCTAGATTATCCAACACATCCCTGCTATGTTTGACACTCATCTGAACACAAAATGTGCTATCAACAGACGTCAGCAGCTGAAGTGAAGGCACATACACAGCCATGCTCCCCCCACAAGAGGTTTCCTGCCAATATAGTGAGCTGGCTCTAAGGTTTTTTTCTTTAAAGAAGAGAAGAAGTGAAGACATTTCTAAGCTAGTCTCAATTCCCACTGTCTTGAATTCATGCAACACAAGTGAAAAATAGAGCAAACCAATTGCCATCACTAAGCCAGTCTCCTCTAGCTCTGAATAGCATTAAAAAGGGCAAACATCAAGACAGAAATTCAAAGGGGAGGCTGAAATTCTCCAGCTCACACTGCTGCAGTCAGGGAAGAAAACAGGGGACATAAATTATGAGTGAAACTGAATGTTTTCTGTCCAGCATGGAACAAACCTACTGTACCGTGTGTCAGGACTTAGGAACACCTCTTGGTCGTGGCCAGCATTTTTCCAGCTTGCTAAACCTTTTGGGACTCAGAAAAAGTATTTTTAGCTTTAACTGCTGGCTCAGCCTTGCCACAGACTATGTGGAACCTATTAGCACAGAAGGTGCATTTTTCATTCTAATGTGATAGAAACTATTTGTACTAATTCCACAGAGGAAAAATGACAAGCCTATTGCAGAGCTGAGCCAGAGTGTCTCTTAAGTTTTCAAATATTACTGAACAAAATTAAATGCCTAATTATTGGTCTAATTTACAGGGTAGATGAGAATCTCTGGTGCCCACTGACACCAAAGGGAATTAAAAAGGATTTTTAAAAAGTAAGTAATTGTAGATTAAAAGAAAATTAAACCAGGACACTTACGAGACACCTAATATTGTCTGTAGAAGCCTAGCATAAGGCAACTGTGATTACTTCTGTCTGTATCTTAATAGCTATTTACTCCAGTCATTTAACACAGGTTTTTGGTTAATTAAAGCCACATGAGTAAGAAGCTACCTGAATACAGTATCTTTGCAGCACAGCCTGGACTTCAGACAAACGCTCATCATCTGGCCCTCCTTTTCAAAGTCCCATTCATGCTCCATCCCCTTTCTCCTTGGTTTAGGCTTGCTGCCCATTTTCTGCAAAGCAGGGCCTCCCTGGCACCCTGCCTCTGCTGGCAGGAAATGGGTTCTCTCAGTCCTTTGGCTTTGGGTTCACTCCTGCTTTGCAGCAGAGGCAGTAGAGAAGAAGCACATGTTTCTTCCTTTGTTTCTAAACAACTGCTACAAGCTGCTGAGTCTGCAAGAAGTGCCAGGATCACAGCATGGTCTGCTCTTTACCCCCAAAGACGTGTTGCCTCAATTTGCAATTTCCTAAGCCACATCCATGTTAAGCAAGACAATGGAAGCATTTGTGAGAAAGCACACATGCACATAGCTTAATCTGTATTGGTCACCAACTCATTTTTAATTAGACTAAACAGTGTTCAAGACTGGTCCCACTGCAAAGTTCAGTCATATTTTCCCAAAGTTGTAAAAATAAATAAAACAAAACCCACAGAGTATGCTTCTAAATCCAACTACTTTATGCAAGGTCTTGTCTGGACAGGGTATTTCCACTGTTTTCTCACAGCAGTGCAATACTAATGCAGCAGTATAAGCTTATTATGATTAACTTTAGTATACAGACAAGAATTTAAATGTAGCCAGGTTGAAAGCAGCATTTCTTGTCATCTCTGCTTTTAATCAACATAGACCAGGTATTTTTATTCCTTTTTACACTTTTTTTTAAAACAAAATTGTAGGAAATATTTTTGCAGGCACCTCTTTATAAAAGTAGCTATTACTTCCCCTAAGTCGAGATGTTGTTCTATTACATTTACAAACTCAGTGAGGAATAAAATTTGAGACCTAAGCTCTGGGTTGGACTCAGCTGACTTGGAAGGGATGGTGCAGACAAACAATTGTAACATCAAGAAAAATTCAAAACAATAAGCTGACTGTGGAAAAGCCCATATGTGGTAGAAGAGATGAAAGAGACTGTTCTAGGCTTAGGGAGCAGTCTGAATAAGGCATGAAACCAAGAAGGAGAAGACTGAGGAAGCAGCAAGGCAAGACTAGGATATCCAAAAAGGGTAAGAGGGAACGTCATCAGAGATGTGAGCTGGGTAAGACTGGAGAGGGTTCTTCAGATGAGAATGAGGAATACAAATCTAATATATAAGCCACAGGGTCAGAATAATACAGCCAGAGAAGTGAGAGACAACCAACGTGACACTTTTAATACAACTGAGAAACAAACGGTGAAAACGGAAGACAAGCCAAGTCACGGAGATCAAGGTAAGAGTTTGGAGTGAGAACAGAGAAGAAAGGATGAGTTTCCATGAGACAATACAGTAAAAGAAATAGCAACTATTGGCAAGGACCTAAATATGGAAAAAGAAACAGCAAGAAGTGATATGTGGGAAGCTACCCAGGGTCACCACAGGACAGAAGTTGTAAAGGATTAGGAAAACAAGCAGCAGCTTGGCCTCTACAAACTGAGTGTGTGATGGCAACCAGGCAGACAAGAACAGATGTAAGATGGAAGAGACTGGAAGGGAGGCTGAAAGCAACAGCAGAGATCTGAGAACTGGTAATGAGAACAGTGTCTTTTCATTTCCATTCCTTGAAAAATAAAATTACATTCAAACTAGACTGGGCAAGTTCTCATTCTTCCTCATCCTCTCAACTCTTCCAGCCAGTATTTCCTACTAACCTGGCATTTGAAACTCTTCAAATACTCGGCCCCCACCTGATCTTCTCGCTCAAACCCCGGTGCTTTCTTGTAGCTGCCGGCTGCTGTTACTGAGTCTGGAGGAAAACCAATGGTCTCCAAGCTGTGTGGCTTTCCAATGGCGCCAGGAGGAGACCCACATATATTAGATGGGCTTCCAAGACTGCTGTTCCTACAAAGAATCTAATAGAAGGAACAAGTGTCAGGAAAGCACAGGCAGCAGCAACGACTCAAAGAGGAAAGCCATCTGACAGAGTTCATTCACTTCACTGTTCGTACATGGATTATATTGACAGTCAAAACAAGCATACAAGCTTCCAGTAAACAGGAATTAAAAACCAGGAAGAAGATCCAGTAGATACTGGATTTATACAGTCCCACAATTACAGTTTTATTGTCATTACTTTGTACTGGAGTGCAGTCTTATAAAAACCAACCTACAGCTCTAGTGACATTTATTCTTTTTTAAAAGCCTCAGATGCAACTTCTGAAGTTTCCAGTCCTGACCAAAACCGTCTTCACTTTCCTTAGGCTACAGCGGATCCTGTCTGCACTCTGCATAGTAGTGTGAAACCTGGAAAGGTGCTATGGCAGTCAGAACAACCAAGCAAATCTGAGCTACATGTAATACTGTATCTTTTGCTTTCCAGTTGGGAATCTGAAAATTTTAATGCAGGCACAAGCCAAATATCAACAGCTGCATTAAAACACCCAGGGATTTCCAACAGTTCCATTATTTGAACTATAACCAGGGATCACAACCACATGCAACAAGGCTAGTTTTGCACTGTAGATGAAGCCACAGACAGCAGCAAAAGGAGATTAAGATGAGCGTTAGGGAAAGCGTCTACCTGGATCAATGCAGATATCCCATTTTTCTGGGACAAGAAATTAATTGCCTGCACTGGCAAGCATGACTGTGCTTCAGACAATATTTAGACAGCTACTGCTACCACAGATTCAAGTGTGGCATAGTCTGGGCTGGCATTAGAAAGAAGGAGTATCCTACAATGTTTTGATTTTATTTTTATACAGACATTCTGCTGTCCATGCTTCCCTACAGTCGCAAAGATACTACTCACTGTGGTGGAGGTGGGGCTAGTTGGCAGAGTTCCTGATTTATTCCACACCTACAGTACAAATACAAAACAGAACAGGCCACGTGAGGCTGGCTGCTAGAGGGACCTTTTTCTCTGATTAATTCATCATGTAAAATGATCACCAGCAAAGCCATATTTGTTTGCAAGCTACATGCAGATGCCCCATGGAGTGATGAAGTCACAGAAAGACATGTGTTGCCATTTGGCACATATCCAAGGATTAGGGAAGACTGTTTAAAAGACTCAGAGCTTGAGACAAAAAAAGACCTAAACAGTCTATAAAGTGGAAGATTCCTTCCACTTCATTGCAGTTTTCAGAGAATTTAGATGATATATTTGCAAGATGAACACAGTTTGGTTTTTGCAGCTTTCCAGAGTGTTATTTAGTGAGAGAAAATATTATCTCCAGGCCTTTCAAGATCTGTTTGGAATTCTAGCTGCAATCAAATTCAGGAGAACTATGAACTGTTAGTCTGGCTTTGGCACTAACAAAATCAAACTATCAGCTTCTCTTTTCAAAGAGGGGAAATAAGATAAAACAGAGGTCCTAAATGAGTTCACCTCATTCTGACCAGTTTCAAATGAGTTAAATTCATGTTCTTTTACCTTCTCAAAACCTCAATCAACCATTTGAAAAGGTTACACACCTTATCAACAGCAGTGCAAACAGGAAAGACTTAACGAACAAAAAAAAAAAAACACCTCAGCAAAAATGAAGTGGTCTGAACATTCCATGAGCTTCTTATCTGTCTCTGTGTATCTGCTCAGAACATAAAGATCTCCCTTCTTCAATGTACAACCAAAATAAAGCACTACCAACAGTCTGGGCCATTACTTAAACATACTCCAAGAGTTTCGCTATCTCCAGGAGTAGGAGGGAGGAAAGCAAGGATATCCTATAATGCAATACACAATAAGCACAGGTTAGGCCTCGGAGATTACATATGTAAACAAACTCGAATGTAGTTATGTACTTTAGAAGTTACTGGCACACAGCCTTTAATCAGAGTACTTGGAAACTAAGCCCAATATGTACCTCCAGACAGGAAGCAGTTGGACTTCATGTACGGATGTATTCTACTTTCCTGAAAATACATCAACAAACTCTGCACAGAAAGGAAGGCTCAGGAATTTTATAGGTGAGAGGACAATACTGAAGCCACTGAATTATATGCTGCAAACAAACAGATCACTTTAAAAAGCATGGAGCTGAGATCTAAAAGAAAAATGTCATATCCTCTGGGCTTTTGGAAACTTAAGATTTCTCTTCTTGGGAGAAAGAAGTACAGCGACTCAGAGAAACCCAGATTTACAAAATAGGGACAAGATTTCCCCACAGTGCTACATACATTGCTAAGGTCTGGGGCATGTGGACTGGAAGGGCTGACTGGAACAGAATCACCAGCTGCTGACGGCATATACATCACAGGGCCTGTCTGTGTCGGGCTAGACACAGCCGAGGATTGCTGTAGATCTTCATTGAGCGCAGGCTCTGGAAGAAATAAATGGAACATTGCTCAAAGCTGTACAATTGCAGAGGAGCACAAGACGTTTAAGAACAAGAATACCTAAATATTCTCGAGAGAATAAATATTCCACAAGCATCTACTTAGAAGTATAGAAGTAGTAGTCTTATTTGCCAAACGGCTACTACTTATCTAATATTCCTTACATTATTACTGTCATCACTTGTACACTGTGCTGCTCTTTAGTCCATTAATGCTGCTCCAAAATTATCTTCCCTGCATGAATTGTGTGTTATTCATTCAGCTGTCTTGAGCTAAGCAGAGCTTCCTTCATTGCTAGGCATAACGTTGATGGGTGCATTATAATTAGCTGAGGGAGATAAGTTTCCATCTGTGCTTAGTATAAAACATTACCAAAAAAAAATGTAATTCACATAGAAAAGCATACAGAAAGTGTCATTGGCTTGAAAAGTAGAGATGCTGTAGACTTGTAGTATTTATGTCCAACACAACTCAGCATCTTTACAAAAACTACATAAATGACACTATGCCGGTATGGCAATACATTTAAAGTACTGGCTTCAACACATTTCTTATAATAAATTAATTCCTGTTATGTTAATTGAATTAGGCCCTCAGTGTTCACCTCACTAAGGACTGAAAGATACAATTCCACAAGACAGCACAAGAAATAACCAGGTTGGAATGACCTAAGTGCCACTCTGGCTTTAAAGTAGTATAGTGTCAAGTGCTGTAATCTTACTAGGAATAAGGCATCTCCTAAACAAAAATACTATGTTATACACAAGGGAGCTGACTAAACACTGTTTCTTTATCAAGACTTTATTCTCTCAAACTTGCTAGATCATACTGTGTAGCTGCACTAATGTGTTTTGGGCCATCATAGCCCACAGCTCTAGCTATAATTACTGCTTGTCGACAAGGCTTCCTATAAAACGAACTGCGTAATCTGCAGGGAATTCACTCTTGCCATTCCTTGACAAAGGCAGCAATTACTAATTCTACCATTGACAAAGGATAATCAAATAACAGAGATTTTTCTCAAGGCCAAGTAGTGTGTCAGTATTGGAGCGAATTTATTGACTTGTGAGTAACCTGCTCTAATTGCTGAAAATTCAACAGTCAGACTGGTGTGCAGAAACTGAGTAGGTGCCACAGAACCAGGAGCTAACCATTTATCTATGAATATTAGTACCCACTTAGTATCACTAGTTTACAGATTATGAAAGTGAGGATTGAAATAATGCCCTATAAATCAGGGAGCTAGTGAGAAAAGAGGATTTGTGGAAAAGCCAACAAAAAGCTGCATATTTTTACTCTCCAACCTGACTTAAAGATTTAAACTCTAAGCAAAACTTCATAAATAGTGAAATAGTATTTAATTTTTAAAATGGATCAATACATTATCCATAATTAGCAATTTTATCCTCAGCTTTTTAAAATACAACACTTTGCAACTTAGCCTGGTACAATTCATTCACGTACAGAAGAGAAGCAGCGCACTCTGTTCCAGTCCTCCCAGACTGATACACAGAATTGGTGAGAGGGAACAGAGGGAGATACTTCAAAAGAGAGAGCAGCGAGAGCTAAGGGCTGAGTCCTACAGACTACCAACTGCCTTCAGCTCTGCTAACACCTCCCACACTAGCACAGTTTTACAGGAATTATCAAAGTTAATACTCTGCTTTTGAAAATCCTTCACAGAAGCTCTAGTTTAGTGGCCCTATATTTTAAACTATCTATTTTGGCCAGAAGCTCAACATAGCTCAAATATCCATGAAAGACGAGAGAAGGAGCCCACGTACGTTCTACATGTGCAAAGGCACAGAAGGGTCCTCGGGGACAGCTGCCAGACTGCTGCATATCATTGCACTTGGTGGATTTGTAGATCTAAGGGTGGGAGAAAAAAGCACAAAAAAACCCCAGACATGAACATGATAAAACAGTGACCAGCAGCGCAGATACAAAAGTACGATGAAGTGACTCGACAGCAAGATAGGAAGACAGACAAAAGGCGCAAAGGCCAGCAGAGTTCAGGGTAACCATTTCAGTGCTTTGCTTCAAAGAAAGGAAAATCTGCTATAGTTACAGAAACACCAAAATATGCCCATCACAGCTAGAGCTCACCCAAAGATCAACCCATCACATGTTAGCTCACCCAAAGGCCACCATTTGCCATAAAGTCCCTCAGTCTCACTGGAAGCTCCAATGATAGATAAAAGGTAGGAAACAGTTGACAGATGACAGCACAGAACGTTACAGCCACATGTTTGCAAGGAAAATAACAAACCATTGACAATGACTGTAGGAAACTGATATTCCCCTTACCCCTAGTTTGACAGGCGGTAACAATGGTTACTTTGGTGATACAGGCCCAACAAGACTTTTCAAACACTGTAACATGAAGCAGACTAGGACAAGGTCTTTCTGTAAGGATACTGGAATGCCCTGGGTCACAACTAAAAGCGTGGTGGTTTTTAGCACCAGTTCATGGATATGTGTGGTTTAGTGTAATCATCATCAACCAAGACCTTTTCCTCAAGGAAACAGATGCCATATGCTCACCTGCAAACCCACAGCATGCAAAGGATCCCCACACATAATCCTGCTCTTACACTTGAGTTTCCCCCCACTTTTCTTACCTCTTCCTATCTAATGACTTACTCTTCCCTACCTAATGAAAAGGCACCCCTGTCAAGCAGCTGAATTTCAACTCACTTCCAACATGCAGTTTCTCTGTATCCTAGGGCCACACTGCAAGCAGTCCACATACTCTCCCTCTGCTGACACACTCAGGTACCTCATAAGCCTGGAATGCTTTTGCTTTTCTAGTGACAGCTACCAAACAGATCGAGCAGATTACTGTACCTCTGGATGGAACTGCTGTTCTGTGCGAGTGTGGCAGTATTGGCATGAGTCTCCATTTTCACACTTACTGGGATCTCCCCACTCGTCTCCGTGTTTCACACTGGGACAAGGCGAAGATCTGTATAAATAAGGTAACAGGAGAATGCATCAGACCCACAAATGTGCTTTGAGCCTTGCTTCCTCAACTGGGAGGCAGGTTCGGCCTTGGGACGGATGGTGAAGGAGTCTGG